AGATCATTTTCAAAAATTTTAAAGAACCTTTTGAAAGTGACATGGTACGTACATTTATCATAATAGGTTAGATTAAAATGCATAAAATGTATGCAACATCAAAATACTAAGCTCACATAATGTGCATAACTATTTAAGTCAAACAGACATACTGATTGTAACACCAGTAGAGTTGTTGATATCTGTATATCAATCATGGTGTCACAATTATAAATTTTGTTTTTTACTCACTGGCATAGATGCCATGCTATTCAAACTTTGCATTTTTTTGTCACATCCATAACAGAGGCAAGACATAATGGAATCCATAGGCATTTGTACATTGTTACAACGATTTTTGAGCAACTTTAGTAAATGCTAAATACAGCCATGAATTGACTAAATATAATTGAAATAATAGAAATTCAACTCACACAAACTGATGACCTTATTTCAGATATTTACAATAAATGAAACAAAAGCGCAAAAAGTGTATCTATGCTATATATGAAATAATTAGCTTTAATAATTACAAAAGCTAAAAAAAAAGTAGTAAAAATGAAGAACATTTGAACAGAAAGTATATTTTTGATAAAACACCAATATTTAAAAAAGTACCTATATATTTAAATAGTGTTAAAAAATTGTGTTTATTTAGAATTAGGTTTTATATACACAACCAAGCCATTGTCAGATCTGCAAGATACGTCCGTCTGCACATAAAAAAAAAACATTTCCAGTAATCTTCACTTTCGTGACAACCAACTGGCTGATTTATGTAAATACAGGTTATTTGTCAAAAATCTAAGTGGAAGAGAGATGCAAGCAAAATCCTTTTACTTGCAACACAAAACTTCCTGTGTAAAAAAATGGGATGTCATTTCCATCTATTTTGGCTAAGAAACCTCCTCTTTAAACTAATGTTGGGAGAGACCAGTTTCTTCTAGTACTGTGCAACACTAGCTATGATAAACCCTTATGCAATATTATTATTTGTTTATCCAATGCATTTTAAACATTTTACCACCTAATTTGTTCCACTGAATTGAAAGTCACTTATTGCATTTGAAAAATTTATTTTGTGTATTATATAGCAGATGTTTTAATTCCGAATGGATCACCATTTCCAGGGTTCATATACACTGGTGCACGTGGAAATTAAGTATTTGTTATGGATCATCAATGAAAAAAATTAAGAACAAACAATCAAACAAATTAGTACTAATTAAACTAAAGCAATTATTTCACCTGAATTTCACTTTTGTAATTTGTAAGGGTAAAGTAAATATGTATGTAGGATATATTATTATTAAACAATCTAATATTTAACTCAATTACGAAACAAATTGAAGAATTAACTTCACAAATTTTTTCAAGTAATTAGGATTGAATTATAAAATTCCTTGAAACATTTAAATTTTATATTTATAATTGATATTTTAAGACTTAATTAGCTTTATATTGATTCTTTCCTTTATACTTCTTTTTGTCACATACTTGCTCAGCGCAGAGGTCAAGTGGCATTAGTTAAAGTAAAATAATAATCAGCATGACTCATAAGATGCTTGGCTATTGCCACTGCAGTTGCTTGTTCGAGTTGTTGTTGCTTGCAGAGAGTCGCTATCAGAACAGATGTGAGCACTTAACGTTGGTAAGCGTTTAAAGTTAGTTGCACTTAATTCGACACAACTAGTGTTATAGCTCCGTGTACATTTGCTGAAAGTGTAGCCAGTTAATATAAAGTTTCAATAAGCCCCTGAAGCGCCATAGATGATAGGTTGCTTTCCATTATTTTGTCTTTTTAATTGTAAGGAAAACATTTTTACACTCATAAGGGTGGGCAGATAAGTTACAAATAATTAAATTACGTAGTTAGATACTCTTAGTCATAATAGATTTATTTACATGGTTACAATTACAATTTTTTTAAATTTCTTTTTCAACATCTTCAGCAGTTATAATTTAAAATAATGAATCTAAAATATTACTACAACTATAAATTAAAAAGATACAAAAAATGTGTTCGTACTAACAATAAATAAGAAATTTAGCCGTCTTATTTTCAAGTTAAAAAAACTTGAAAAATTTTCCAGCTACCTTAGCTATTTTACATCGATTTCCTTCTCTTTAGGATTTGTTTCAATAAACAAATCCAATGTTCCCACTAATTTCTGCTTCATCTCCAAATTTGTTAATACTTCAATAATGTAGCTTTAATTTTTTTCTCTTTATAAAACCAATTTCTTTTTAAAATTTTCAGATGTGTAAGTTTTTTTTATTCTTAAGAACTGCTTGTACTTAAGAGTGTAAAGAATAAACTGGTAATTTTATTTTCTTAATGAGTATTAAAAATAAATATGAAATAAGATCAAGACTGCTGCCTTAGCCAGTGCTGTAGAATTTAGAGAAGCACTGGGCAGCAAAATTTATGGCAAGCCCTGAGGTATTATGGTGTACTGAAGACACATATGATGAATCTTTCAATTAACTGTCAGTTTTCAATACCTTTGATGCTTGTGTCTAGAGGAAAGATACGAAAATAAAAGATTTCTGGTATGAAAAGAAACACTTTTCTTCCAAAAGATGAGATTCATCAGAAATTGCCTATAAAACATATCTACTACGGAACATGAAGACACTTTTAATTTCATCATGTTTTTTGAAAATTGTAAGTACTAAGTTGTCTAAAGGAAGTATTGTAATCACGAAAAATGTTGGGTATCATATTTCAAAGATAATATCGATTTTGACTGCTATCCAATGCAATTTAATGATGTTTTTGCTTGACCTCTGCAAATAGGGACAGAATAAAGGACTCTTTTCCCCCAAAAAAATTATAAAACTGATTTAAAATGAATTCTAAAGAGAATTTTTCGTGGCGTCTGCGTGTACGTACGTATCTCGCATAACTAAAAAATGAGTAGCCTCAGAACGTTGAAATTTTGTATGTACGACTGCTATAACATGTAAACGTGCTCCTCATATTTTGGTTGCAATTGGTCACACCAAAAGAATATAAATATAGATATTCACTCTGTTTACTCGGCTCAGTGTCTTTATTCTTATATGTAAATTGTGCATTTTTTTGCTTTGAACATGATTAAGTTGTTCTTATCTTTCGGTTAAGGTTTTTATACCTTTAGTAAATCTGCATGCAATATTTGTGAAAGTTATCAACAATTTAAAAAAATGTTTAAGTGCAGCTAAGCCTAATGAATTTTGCGATGGTGGACGTTTGTTTACATTTTAAACTTGGCAAAATAGCGGATTTGCTGCCAATCTAGAAAAAACTAAGCTTCGCAACAACAAAGATAACGCCTTCTTTTATTATTGCGATAAATCATGCTTAATGCATTCTGGAATTTATTCGAGGAAATATATGTTTCAGATTTATTTTGCAATTTTTAATATATAGTTTTTTTCAGTTTTTATGCATTTTTGCCTTGTCGGGAAGTGAGAACTGTATTAATTGAACAAGAAATACTGAATTGTCTGCAAAAAACTGTTTTTTGTTTTGTTTGCTTAATTTCTTTTATACACCATTTTAGATTTATTACAGTATTTGAATAGAACAGGTAGCAACGATTAGATAATTGTTCGAACGATATAAATTTATATGCTTTCGTTATAATATGGACGAAAACGAACACCGTTACGGGAGCCTAGTGCCAGAATGTTGCTATGGTAAACAAATATAGTGAATTTTAAAAAGTGCATTTATTTATTGTGGTTTATGCGATATCAACAATGTAGATTTAACTCAATCCAATAAGTTTAAATGAAATGCAAGAAAAAATGCGTGTAATTTAATATTCCGTGCAAAGAAGTCATGCGGTGTACACATCAGATTTTTTTAAGAAGTGCGTCAGAAAGTGTGCTTTATAGAACTTATTATATTGTTTATTTTTCAGAATCAAATATTCCTACCACCAAAATGGAAAATTATGTCACTTTAAAATTTTTTTTATATTAATGCTATTTCTGAAACAATTTTTATGATATTTATATTAGTGTTACATCTGTATGAAAAAATCGTCAAAATCTCGCAAATAAAAAAAATTATGTATCCAAACTGATTTTAAAAGTGTCAAATTATGCGCCGCATAATAAAAGAACTCTTATCTCAAAAAGGGAACAGTTGTTTTTGATGCAATATTTTATGAAATCTTCATTCACAAAAAACGATTTACTACAAAATGTTTGTTTCAATCGAAAGAGGGCTTCATATCTAAAACTAGAGTATCCACCATTCATATTAAAAAGGAAAAAATTCAAACATTAATCTATTAAATATGTATTTGTCAATACATCGCCCAAAATATTAATTCATACTCAAAATAGCAGTTGTAAAAAAAAAAAGACAGAAATGTCAAACGAGTAACAGTTAAGGACTTTTTGTCAGTTTTGGCCAAAATTAAGGATTTGTAAGGATCAAAACTCATTTACAAAAAAAAAACACAGACTTTTTAAGCACTTTGGGTCTTGGTAGCAATTTTGATGCCAAACTGGAGGTATTCTGGTAATTCCTAAAAAATGCAGTTTTTGAAGCTCTAGAAATTGGCCATAACTATTAAATATCAGTTGTGTTGGAGAATAAAACCCAGTTAGTTGAATACAGAGTTGAGTGACTGTATTTTTGAGCTCTTGCTCAGTGATATTGGCTTCTTAAGACTTTGTTACGTGATGTCACAGGATTACATTGAATGTCAATTTCTTCATGCTCATTTGGTGCACTTTACACTGACCTCTATGAAAACAAAACATGCAACAATATACAGTTTACATGCTATAATTTATAGTCCGATTCAATAGTGCTTTTTTGACCCTTTTATATAATCACGAACGAGCTCAGCTCACATTCCGGTTACTCACTGCAAGTGGGCCTACATGAACAAGCTCATATTACAAATTTATGACGGACAGATATTGCACATATTTGGGAGAAAGAATTACTTAAATTTCGCAAGTGCCGTAGGGTTAAATGTAGTCACAAATGTTTTCTAAAAACACGACACTGAAAATTATTTAGGAAAGATACTTTATTAAAATTCATATCGCATATTTTACACAAAACACAAAATATAGGCATAACTATGAACTAAAGGAGTAAAAATTTACAAAAGACGCTGAAATCACATACTACCAAATATGATGAATAAAAGTTTACAAACACTGGAAAAAATACAGAAAATAAATTGAAAATTATTACAAAACTGCAGAAAATATACAGTTGCCTGTATTTCAATATAATTATTTCAGATATTAAGACTTCTACAATGAATATATGCATTAATTAAAATTGTCCAACAAGGTGATGATCTATACACAAGTTATGAATGACCAATTGAAAATGGCAGTTTAATCATCATTCTCCAATTTTCGTTTTTGTCCTCTGGGGTTATCTAAAAAATAAATAAATAAAAATATACAGCATTAGCACAGAGAAACATGCTTAATTTATGGAATCATAAATATGTGGTGACAATATATTTATAGGCTTTCCAATGCTGAATTGTAGAGACTAAGAGAATTTTTCATTACTTTACTTCAGCTTAGAGAAGAGACTGATGAAATCATACTGAAACTTTAGTGTGTACTTGTAACACATCTTAATTTTTGTCAATCTTATGCTGTCTTAAATATAATATATTCAAAATACAAGCAAGCTGTCAGATTAAGATTAAACATATAGCGATCATAGACTCCAACCTTCAGCAAACCTTGTCAGTAGTCAACGCGCGAACGACATTTTTACAACTTTGAAAATGTGCGCGTAGCGTATGTTGTAATTAACCATTCATTAATTTTAAATTAATAATTAATTGTAATCAATTTTATTACATTTAAAACTGAATAATTAAAAATATACCTTGTAAATTATATGCACATTTAATTAGAAATTTTCTTTTAACTCCTCAAGCATTCACTAATAAAAAGTACTTCAAATCACTACTAATCATAGAAAAAATCAGAAGCTATAAATCATATCTTTGTTCTGGATATGATTTCTACAGGGAAATAAAATTTAAATAACCAAGAATGATACATATAAGTATTAAGCAAAATACGCATAATTTATGAATGCAAAGATTTATATGTAGCATGCTTAGCAAGCTTAAGTTCTGATTTTGAGAAGTTTTTTTATAAACACCAGTTCTTCATTTGCCTGCACATTATTTTTTCAATCAAAAACTGCTCAAGAGTTTCAAGACCTAAATTTGGTCGAAATTCCGTCTGATTTTTTTTAACAATAGAAAAATTCTTTCGCAAGCTGCATTTGAATGAGGTATTATTAAGACACAAGCATTACAGAAGGCAATACTTGTATTTATACACCCATTCATATTTTTTAATTTGGCAATTTCTCCCCATGCTATATCAATACGCAAATCTACAATTTCTTTCAAATCATCTACTTGATACATGGAAATTCAATTTCTACTTGATTAAGACATTTTTTTATCAATATGGATGGAAAAGTATTCATCAAGTAAGAACAGATGAAATGAGACTTCAGTTCTCAAGTTGATGTCAGCAACTTCAGCATGTTTTAGAAATGGATCACTCAGTGGAAATTTACAATTATTATGAACATGCAGTTACAAAAAAGCTCGCACAGAATGAAAAAATTTTCCTTCACTTTCATTCAACTTGGCTTTTTTAAATATAGTCTTGTTTCCGCACCAATCTAAATTTTCATTTTCTTTGTTTACTATACTTCTGAAATGGAATAGACGTTAGAGTACATCTTCATTTTCTTTGAAATTACTGTGGTTTTACGAATCTAAACAATAAATTCATTAAAAGTTCAAAAAGTTCTCTTCTCAATTTATGTATATAAGAAGCTTGTTGTTGCAAATTACATATTTACGTTATAAACAAGGCAAAGTATTTTTCAAAAATAACAAGTACAATTTGGTGGTCGGTGACTGTAAAATTTTTTTAATGTTTGCAATCTCTTTCCCTCATTCTCAATGTTATCTGGTTTATCTCCAAAAAATTTATCACAGCATCCCACTGTTCCAAATCCTGTTATAGATTCTAAAAGAGACAACCATCTCGTACTGCAATATTTCAAAATTTTATGAGATTTTGCATTCTGTCCCAAAATTTTGTTGAGCAACTTTGAAGCTATGCTTCCGTTTCGAACTTTTCTCCAAGTAAATATATATCTATTATCAACATTCAATTTCTGAGCCCAATTAAATTTTCAGTAGCTTTTTTTGCAGCTACATGCCAGAGGTGGCACAGACAACCTCGGGTGATTATACTTGGTTGATGCATTTTGATAAATGATGCTACACCTTTAAACTTTCCAATCATATTACTAGCATTATCTGAAGAAAATGATAAGCAATTTTTCCATTCTAAACCTTTGTTTTTAAAGTTTCATTTATACAATTAAAATACCTTCTCCTGTATTATTTGCATTCTAAATAGAAATCAATGAAGTAATTATCACTCCCTTTTCTTTACTGTAGTATGTTATACACCAATGGTACAGTTTGTTATCATTACTTCCATCAGTACTTAGAGAAAATGATGTACTGCACACTGATTTTATAATATCAGCAACAGTATTTTCTGCAAGCGTTTTCACAATAGCAGCATTTTGGTATGACCGCAGCTAAATTTTTTTTGCTATGGCAGAATCCGGAAACATTGCTTTGAAAAGCTCTTGGAATGATCCGAAACAGAAAGCGTAGATTATGTTCATTAAAAACGAACAAAATAGCATTCGGCTTTTATAGGATCTGTTTCATCATCTTTATTAAGAAATTCGTTATTTCTTTAGATTTTACAGTGCAAAGTTCTATATGTTTTTGAGAAAAAAACATGCCGTTTACAGTCATCTTTTCCAGCATGCGCAACTGAGAAGTCTTTGTTCTTTTGAACACTGCAGTGTGCGTGATTCACAGAAATTTACGGATGCTTTAATGCACTGGAAATTCTGAAGAATATGAATCTTTAAATTTTTGCTGTGATAATTTTGGCTTTTTCGTTCGAAGTAGCATTATTGAAAAAAATCTTTCCACCTGAATCCTAGTTCACAAGACAGACGCTAAGCTCTCGCCATAATATAAACAATGGAGCCGAAGGCAAGCTAAACACGCAGCAGCAACAAACCTGGGAGACCATATGTTGCGGGGTGGGACTAGTCAATAACGGTTGGAGTTACTGACCTAAGATTATATATTCTTCAAAACCAGCAATGCACTCAACACGTGATATATGATAACACGAGTATTCAGCCAATCATTGGAGAATTAGTTGGTTCCGTTTTGCGTACTGGTTCTCCTGCTCTTGTTTCTGTAAAATCCGTTTTTTTTTCCATAGCTCGTAGTTTTTTTCATGAATTTCCGTAGAAACTACGGAGAATCCGTAGTAGTTGGAGCTTATGAGCGATTTAAGAACTTCTGACAGATAAAAATTACAAAACTATTTTTCTAATTTTGATACGGGTATATGAATTCAGCTAATTAGGAGATTTAACATAATGGCCCTTCCCTTAGTGATAAAAAGCCAAATACCAAAATGAGAATTATAAGAAGCATATAAAGAACAATTCCCACATTTCCAGAAAATCTGATCTGGGTAAAAAGAAGAGGAAATTCATTAAAAAACAAACAGGTCATAAAAAGAAAATTATTTTTCAAAGGTTTATTATTAAAACATTAATAAATTAGGAGATGAAGCAGATGAATTCACTAGTCATTTAACTGTGATTTGAGCAGTAAAAACTCATTTTTATAGCTATTGGGTTCCCAGCATCGAATGCTTTCTCAATTTGCCACTTTTAAAAAACAAATTTAACTTCCGAAAACTTAAGGTAATGAATGACTTGCAACTTGTTAATCCGAAGAATATTGCAAGGAGATTACATTTTCATAACTTTCAGGTAATTACTTTCTTTTGCATTAAATCATGTTTCGATTTCAAATATACAAGTAAACACAGATATATAATAAAATATTCTTTCTCATTAAAAAAAACAATGAACGTTTGTTTAACAATAAATTATATTTTTTTTGATACTACTGACTTTTTAAATATCTGTTAACTTAAGAGCCTTTGTTGTTTACAATTTTTAAGAGCTACTATACTTAAGGTTTAAAATGTAATAACTTTATTCCAGGTCAGCCTAAATTTTTTTAATATTTCCTACTGAGCACAAGTTTCAGTAAATTTAAATTTTGATCATTGATATGGTTAAAGAAATATCTTTAAAAACTATTCTGAAGTATAATAAAATCTAAGTAAGGTTTTTCTCATACATTTTCTTTTTTAAATATAAAGTTTATGAACCATTCAAGAGATACATTTGATTAAAATCCTTGATCTTCCTTAAAATATATAAGAAGCAGGTTCTATTTATTGATCAAAGATTCTAGAAAAACATTTCAAAATATTTTTTATTTCAGTATTATGGTGCTGTTAGAACTGTTTCAAGTTTCCTTTTAGAACTTTTTTGAAGATAATACTGGATATCAACAATGTGTTTATCTATACTTAAATAATAATATACTACATATAAAGAAGCTGCCACTTTTACATATGCTAAATTTACGAGATGATGCACCTCATAATACACAAAAGCGCCTTCACGCCATAATAGGCAAATCTGAATTTTCTTTCGTTAAGATGCTTGCAACACACGTCTTCAAAATAGAAACAAAATACTTATAGGCTGCATTCAGATGGCGACGTAGATGTTACAGAAGCATAGTCACAAGGAGTTAACTGAGGAAATTCTGTTCACAGAAGCGACACAGGGAAGAGTTATTCCATATGAACATACAAAATTATGCATATTTTATTTAACATAAAATTCTTACCATCCTTTTCTTCCTCATCTGCATCATCTTCAATATCAACATCACTTTCAACTGAACCATCGGGGTTATAATCATCACCCTCTGATTCTTCCTAAAAATTTATTTAAAAATTAAGAATTTTGATAGTAAATAAAACAGCTACTCAAAAACAGTATCTGACTTTTAAACATGAAATTATTTACCTAGAGCCAATCAAAAATATATTTAAGATGGTAAAAAATAACTTAAAAATACTGAGCAGGCAGTCACTGTTCAGGAAGGGGGTTTTGCACTGCTAAGACTAATTATATATATATAAATCAAGTAAAAAGAAAGTTTCACTTCAAGCATCATAATTTTTGGTATCATTTTAGATTATTACTTGAGCTCTTATATACATTAAAATTAGCATTTAATAACCATTTTGTCTTTATTGTACATGAAAATATATTAAAAAATTGCTTATTTTGTAAAATAAATTTTGGAAGTGCTATTCAAATTATTCTAAAGTTTTAATTGATAAAATCCAACAATAAAGTTTAAAATTAATAAACAATACAATAAGACTATTTAAGTAAAGTAAAATTTAAAATGAAGACTGTGTTAAACTCGAAGCACCGAGAAGTAATATATTCTAACTCTTTAAATGAATCGCCTCTCTGTGTTTGGTTAATGTCCAAAAACATAGGAGTATTCTCCTCTGAAAAATAGTGCTTCATGCCATAATAGACAGGAGTGAGGCTTTCCGCATACAGTAGTGGTTTTTTCCTCCTTTGTTTTTTATTGAATTTGTCTCCTGATATCGTAAACAAAACTTTCGGACTCCAAGATCTAGTCACTGAACCACCCGTCTTGCAATTTCAGCATAGGAAGACCACACTTTCTCGTAACACAATAATATTACATCTCTTTCTAGGTGTCCAATCTACTCTTTATTTGATGTCATTGCTATTGACTAAATATTAAAAATTTTTACAAAATTCCTACTTGTAATTGCAGTGTATAAAAATAGGTCCTCCTTCACAAAACAAAGCAAAATAATGAATTGTGTTCAAGTGTAAACATGATGTCAGCTTCTACTGGCTTACTAACATTTGATTGGTTCTCAGAACAAAAACAGTGATTGGCCAGGAAAAGCTAGACATTACAACAACTGTGTTTTTTATTTATATTAAAGTACATATAACTTTTTTTGCATTGCAAATAATTGAATTTTGTGTTTGTATGAATTCAGTAATAATTCTCTTTAAAATGATATATACAAGTTTGCATTTTGTGAAACGTAACATTTTCTATAAGCATACAAAGTTCAAAAACATAGAAATTTCCAAAAGTGTCCACAATTTTGACCACCACTGTATGCCTGAAGACAATGCAAAACATAATAAAGCTCCATAAAATAAACATAACATAGCAACCCTAAAAGACTGTACATGGTAGAAGAAAAAATAGAATTAAAAAATAAAATAAAAATTGAATATAAATTAGACATGAGAGCGAATGTTTATAATTCGCACGTCAAGATTTAAAGAGCCCGTCTTTGTTTACACCCCCACCTCCACAACAGTTGATGAATGAAAGAATATATCAAACTCAAAGTCAGGAACCTAATTTCAAGGTTCATTTCAAAAGTAATGAACATCGGATGCCATCTAGTGATCTTCAGAAAAACAGTCCAGCTTAAAATGCGTATACGCTTCACCCGTCCTCTGAATGCAATCTCTAGTGATGCGTGGATGGGACGCCTGGCTGTAAGACACGTTCTAAGGGAATGCGTATATGGGATGCTCCTCCTAAAAGGGTTAATATTTGTAGGAAATTAACCAATTTCAGCACTGTCTTCCGAAATGTGACTAGACTTTTCATTTTCTTATTAATTGTTATATGTCTATCTTAATTAAGATTGCTGTTTATCTAGCTATCAATACTCTCTTAGGCATGTGTTACCCACGCGCACCCTCAGTTCAGTATCCCATTTTAAAAGGCATCCTTAAAAAAATTACTTCTGTCATACATGCTTTTGAGGTACGTACATAGATTTAAACACACAGCAAAACTTGTCAGGAATCAATGCATAAACAGCATTTTTACAACTTGTGAATGAAAAATATGCATTGAAGATAATTAATTTTAATTAGCCATTAAATGTAATTTAATTACATTTAACTTAAAATCATAAATGTATGAAAACCAAGTAATTAAAAACATTTCTTGAAAATTACATGCACATTTAATTTGAAATTTTCCTTCTATTACTCAATCAGAAGTATCACAAAATCTACTAATATATTACTGAAGCTAATATTAAATCACAATTATAGAAAAAATTAGAATCTATAAATCATATGTTTCTATAAAATTTCTGACAAGAAATATATACTTCATTTGTAAGTTAATGGACATAAAGATTGAGTAACTTAACTTCTACATTAAACAATCTTTTTTAAAGAACGGTTCTTTAATTACTCGCACCACACTTTAGAAAATGTTACCCTTCAATGAGAATGGCTTCAGGGTTCGTACACATTTCTGCATGTGGAAATTGAGTAATTTTCATGAATATCAAAGAAAACAACTAAGAACCTATCAAGCAAATAGGAACCGAATAAATAAAGCAATCATCTAGACCTGAACTTCACTTTGATAATTTATAAGAATAAAATAAATCTGTAAGAGGAATGTATTATTAAACATAATATTTAACTTATTTATAAAACAAATCCAAGAATAAAATTTATGAAATTTTTTTCAGTAATTAGCATTAAATTATTAAATTTCTTGGAATATTTATAATTTACACTTAGTCTACATATTTTATTAAAGATTGAGGGCTTTTAATTTAAATTTTACAAGATTTTATGTTTACATCGACTCTTCAACGCTTTGTTTCGTTATGCACTTACTAAGCCAAAGGTATATGCAAATTTGATGTCAAGTCAAATTGAGGAGTAAAATACAGGGTTGTCACTCAAACAGGAGAATGAAATTCCTTTACTTTTCAAGGTTTTCCAGGTGTGTTTTAAGAAAATTCCAGTCTATCTGCATTGGCTGTGCTGAAAGGTAAATTAATTATGGCAAACTTGAAAACACAAAAATTTGCCAATTACATATTATATATAATCCTCAAAGCATTACTATTATAACAACAATAGGAGTTGTTTTCTCTAGTGAAGCTTGAGATTATAATAAGCCCAATCTGGATTTTAAAATGTCTTTTTTGCAGATATTTTGCAGCTAAACAAAAAGGGAAAGGTTTAAATGATTTTGCAGTAAAATCCCGGTATAAACTATGGCCTTTACAAGATTTTGAAAACTGTCGCAAACACTGAAATGACCCGTTTACTGCTCATCAAAACGGTGCCAAATCGTGTCACGAGGATTAAATCGATTTTGCTTTATACGAGAATGAGAAGGTATATTCTTTCATTCAACATGCACTACACATGTGAGTCTCAATTCTCAAGGTTACTGGAAACCAAAGTTACTGAATACTTGCTTTGCCTTTCTAAAAGACAATCTGATTGAAGCTGTGAAAATTGGCTCTACGCCAGCTGCTTGAATAATTCTCACGCGAAACATAATCCGCCAAGAACGTGATTGCTTCGAACGTTGGTGCAAAACTCGCTTTTTGGGGAATTATCGTATGAAATTCCCCGACTTTTCCAGATTATGACTAAAATATTTAAATTCACTGACCCCCCCTTTTTTTTGTCAATTATCGAATTTCTTGACTATTTCCGGTTTTCCAGGTAGCATGACAACCTTGAAAATAACAATCAGCATAACTGATAAAAGAAGTTTGGCTGCAGCTGCTTGCTTAGAGACAGGCAGCTGGTGATCAGAACAGATGTGAACATCTGACATTGGTTTGACTGATAAGTGTTGAAAGTTAGCTGCACTTAGTCTGACACAATAAGTGTCATAGCATCATGTAGATTTGCTAGAGTTGTAGACCAGTTAATATATAGTATTTATTATAATAAAGTTCAAATAAGTTGCTGAAGCATCAGAGATGACAGGTAGTTTTGTATTACTTTATGTCTCAATAGTAGTAAGGAATAACATTTTATGTTAAGTTTTACATTTTTGTACAGTTAGTTACAAATAATTAAATTGCACAGTTATAATACATTGCACATCATTAGCAATAAAAGACTTATGTGGTTACAATCACAATTTTTTTTAATACTAAAAATATCTATCAAAAAAGTACTAAGAACATTAGCAGTTGTTATTTCTGATATTGATTCTAAAATTATATTAGTGTAACTATACAATAAAAGATAGAAAATATTTATATTTTGTAGCAACAACAAACGTACTGTTTTTGCACTTTTTTAATTTCCAGCTTCTTTTTTTTAAAACCTAATGTACATCAATTTCCTCTCTTTTAACATCTTCCCTACGTTTACTTGTTTCCATAAACCAATTAATGTAACTACTAGTCTCATCTCATAAATTGTTAATGTTTTAATAATATACCTTTGAAGAATAATTTTCTTTCTGTTTTTATTCATCAGTTTCTTTTTCAATGAATTTCCTCCTCATTTTAGAATTTTCAGATTTAAGATTTCTGTTATACTAAAGAGATGCTCGTATTTAGAATGTATAGAAGAAACCAATTTTATTTCTTTAATAATATGAGTGTGTATTGAGAATAAATATGAAATGACATAAGGTCAAGAGTGGCACTACTGCCAGCGCACCTAAAGTTTTAGAATTCAGTGAAGCAACAAGCTATAATATTTAAGACAAAATTTTCTGAATTTTGGGCAGAACAGAGGTGCACTATGGTGTGCACTGAGACAACTGTGATGAATCTTTTAATAAAACATCAGTTTTCAGTATCTTTGCTTTCTTTGATTGCTTAAATGCTTTGTCTAGTGGGAAGATAAGAATATTAAGAGAAAGATTTCTAAGATAAAAAAATGAAGATTTAAATAATTTGTTTTCAATAATTCTCCAAAAGACAAGAAATTCACCAATTTCCCATAAAACATGTTTCATTACATGTTAACACATTGTATGTGGGTATATTTTGGCTCGGACTTTTCATGTGGGCATTATTAAAATCACAATAAATCAATATGCACTTACAGTGCCCATCATATTTATACAACACCCATTGTCCAGAACAGATCTACTAAATACGTACTTTTACAAAGCCTGTGATGTAGTGATAAGACTGCAAAATACGTAAAAGTATGTTCCCCGTGTGCAATGTGTTAATACTATGAAGACACACTTTTTGGAAAACTTTTCTGGAAATTGTAGGTCTATAAATCTTGTATTTAAATCTTCCGATGTGCACAGTCTAAAGTACAAAAATTTAAATTTCTTTTGACTTTATGGCATTAACTTTGTTTATACCTCTGAGATCATAAATGCTGTTTACAGCCACATTTCACCATGTACACAAATGAAAAGTGTTTTCAAGCAAAATGCGTGAAAATTCTGTAGAACAGGAGACTTTAAATTTCAGCTTAATAATTATTATAGCCTTTTATTCTGAGACAGGATAAATTCACAAAATTAAACTTCTAGTTTAATTACAACAAGCAGCATGTGCCATGCATTCGTGCTGTAGTATAAAGGAACAGGATCTGCAGGGTACTCCATTGGTCATAATTTGCTGGCCTACAATTGGCGGCAACTTCAAACTCAGCAAGACCATCAACCTAACATATGATATACGTCATTAAAGGCATTTCAGCAATTATCAGATTAATATTTTGGTTCTGTTTCATATACCATTTTGCTTGTCACCCCTTTCAGTAAAATCTGCAGTCCCTGCAATTTAAAAATTCATTCTATAGTATTCTGATACCATTAGTTGACTTACTGATCACAATAAGTGACGTATTTTCCATGCTTTTGTATACAAATGGACGGGATTTCATCAATTAAATAATAATATTTGAATAACATTAACCATGTTCACATTAAGCAACACTTGCTGTATATCAATAAGATGTGAACAATACAGTACAAAATGAGACCTGAAAGCTGAAATCACAGTTTAAGTTTTCAGTTCATTACATGAACAAAAGTTTAGATAACTATATAAAACGATGCGAAAAGATAAGGGACACTTTAAATTTACAGAAAATAACAATTATCAAGAACATTTTTTCTTGCATCTGAAAGTTTTAAAATACATAATTTTCAGTAACTATATAGCAGCTTTTGTCTAGCTCAAGATTTAATACTAAAGAGCATCACTTTAAAATATTGCAATGAACTGAACCTAAGGGATAATCATTTTTCATTCGTGGTGATAAGAGGTACTACTGTAATATAAATCCCACAAACCAAATGTATAATAAATTATATCACTTAGAGAAATTACTAAGTGTGCATTTTTTAATTGCTCAGGTAGTTATGCAATGCATTGTTATTTGAAAATGCTTATATATACTATATAAACAATTCATTTTTTGTTTTAAGTAATATTTAAATAGAACTGTTTACCAATAAACAGATTTCAAAATAAAAATGCTGGTTACTCAATAAACCTTAAAATCTGTATATGAAATTAGAGGGTTTAAGGAATTAAGAAATGTGAAATAAGAAACTAATATTATTCACTGAAATTCTAAAAAGAAAACTCACATCAATAGAATTCTGAAGATAAGAAAGACCAACTTCTTCTTCTTCGTCGTCCTCCTCCTCTTCTACATCTTCCTCTTTAATGACAAAAGTATTTTTAACATTAATCAAACTTGAAAGGAAAGGGAGGAAAAAAAAAAAAAAAAAGTATAATTGATCTGATTCAAATATAAATACTGCAGAAAATAAATTGATTCACTACACCTTACCACTATGTCACAGGAATAATCAATATAATTAATTCCCTGTTATAGTTCAGGCTAATATTTTACAAATACTACTTGAAATGACTAAATTCTTAAAATATATTCCATTTAATGTAAATTCATAAATGACAAAGTTTTAACAGGCTGATTAACAGTTCTTTTTTTGCAGATTTCCAATGCCAACACAAAACTACTGCATAAGAACGTTATTAAGCAATTAGTAGGGATTGGCTAACCTTGAAGAGTTTCTAAACTGCAAACACAAATATGTTCACAATAAAACTATAAATCCAAAATCTACAAAATATTTATCAGGGAAGAAATACTAATATCACCTTAATCATACCACAGAACATATAACTTTAATAACAGCACATTTATAAATATTTAAGATGTTTATACTGAATTTTTTTAAAGTTTCAAGAGATTCTCATAAATACACACACTTTCACATATCGTAACAGAAAATAACAATGAAATACTTATAGATCATCTTATGAAAGTCAATTCAAATAATATTTACATATCTAACTGCAATTTGATGCATCTCATAGCTGCCAACCCTGAAGATAAAAAAGTGCGAGATCCTAAGCTGCACTAAGATGAATTTCAAAAGAAACAAGGAGTGTTAATAGGACATCCACTATCTAGATGCAGATAAGTATTAGGCCAACTAAGAATTGGAATAGCAAATATATTAAAGTACAATTTGTGCTTTCTGAAATCTTTAAATATACCATCAAAGTCACCTAATTAAAAAGCAATCAATACATATATTGTTTGCTGTTTACATGATTTTATCCAGTTTCTCTGTGAATGTTTAATATTAGATTTCCCCAATTTTAGTTTAATTTTAAATGCTGTCATTCTTCAGAATGGTTTATGAATTGATTTGGCTCATTATGACACATATATGGTTTATTTCAGCCTGCAACCCTGTTCAATAAAAATTAGTAATTAGTTCTTATTTTCAAGTTAGCTAACATATGCACTCAAGCTTTCATGTATAGTTAATATGTAATCCATGAAAGAGGTGGTGTATACCAAAAGATATAACAAACTAATTTGCTTTACTAAATATACTATAAGTGATAAGAAAAAAAAAATTAAAAATCTAGTTTTATGGGTCATTCAATTTTTCGACAATACAAAATAAAAATTTGTTCGCAAATAAATTTTATCCATGATAATCTTAAAAAGGTTAGAAATAACATTGCAACCATCTCTGACCTTACATAAATCAATATATAAATATACAGTACAAAGTCTGTAATTTGGACTTGTCGATTCCGGATTATAGATCATAAATTTAAATCTGGTAAGATGGCATGCAGAAATTATAAATTAAAAATATGAAACCGTAATTTATGAAATAAGAGCAAAAGGGTATCAAAATTGCCAAAAAAAAAAAAAAAAAAAAAAAAAAAAAAAAAAAAAAAAAAAGCTAATATTTATTGTTTACTTTATTAAACATTTCTTTCAATGTAAGTTGTTTAGTTGCTTTTTTTATGTGCTAATACTTTCTCTTTAATTCAATAAACAGACATAATTTTTTGTTCAGTTACAAAGTCCGCTGTTCAAGTCCTGTTGCTGTGCCGAGAATACCGACTAACTTTTCAATCGAAATTTTTTCGTTTTCACTAACCTCTCGTCACTTTCTTCATGCCTTATTTATCCATTTTTTGCAGCAATTCCACTTTTTGTTTGATGGACATCAAAAATGCTTTTGCTTTGTAGATCCTTTGGCAGCTCCAGTATCGGAAACTCTTTTTGACATAATCGAAAGTTCAAGCTTACTTTTTATAAAATTGCTGCTATAACAGTCTGCAAAAAATAATAAGCCGGATCCAATTCGAAGATTAGGAACAACGCAATCTGAACATTAACGAAATAGATAATTAGAAGATTTTTAGCCTAGCTTACTGTCCGTTATACATCAACGCATGGCAGAAAGTTTGTAGCTTTGATCTGATAAGATCTCAGATTAAGACTTTGTACTGTACTTGATTTGAATCCGGAACATTGCTTGAAAAGCTCTTTGGAATGATCCGAAAGAAAGCGGTATGTTCACTAATCGAACAATACATTCAGCTTCTATAGGACCTGTTTCGTCATCTTTTATTAAGAAATTCATTATTTCTGTAGATTTTAAAGTGACAAGTTCTATATTCTTTTGAGAATAAACATGCCGTTTAATCATCTTTTCCACCATGTGCAACTGAGAAGTCTTTGTTGCATACACTACAAAATGATTCACAAAAATTTCGGATGCTTTAATACATGGATATTCTGAAGAATATGAATCTTTAAATTTCTGCTTTGATAATTTTGGCTTTTTCGTTCGAAGTAGCATTATTAACAAAAAATTTCCACCTGAATCACAGTTCACAAGACACACGCTAAGCTATCGCCGTAATTCAAACAATGGAGCCGAAGGCAGGCTAAACATGCAGCAGTAACGAACCTGGGAGACAGACAAAGAAGACAGATGTTGCAGAACTATTGACAAGTCATTAAAGGTTGGACTTACTGATCTACGAATGGCTATTCTTCAAAACCAGTCACACACCCAACACGTGATATATGATGACACCAGTATTCAGCCAATCATCGGATGAATTAGTTGGTTCCGTTTTGCATACTGGTTCTCCTACTTTGTTTCTGTAAAATCCACGCTTTTTGTAGCTCGTAGTTTTTCACGAATTTCTGTAGAAACTATGGAGAATCTGTAGTAGTTGGAGTCTATGTATTATGCTCATGCGTAAATGCATTTTGCGTTTATGCATACGCAGAAACTTTGTAGCTTTGAAGTCCGCATTATACATCATTCTGGATTATGGATGTCCAGATTAAAGACTTTGTACTGTATACACAATGCTATTATATATAACCAAAGATCAGCTTATAGAAGATGGGACTGTAAAATTAAATAGAATTAAAAAATAACTCCCCTCAGACACACAGCATCACAAAATAACTTGAATTTTCAAAATTATAAATTTTAGTATAGCAAAAATTTATTTCCTTACCTTCATCTTCATCACTTTCTTGATATAGATCATTTGGTTTTTCATATTCTGTCAAAATGGGAAGGGGGAAAAATCAACAATATTCAAGCAATTAAATTATGAGTTCTGAGATAGCTATAGTAAAATAAAAAACTAATATAGAATGATAAAAAATATATTTGCAATAGCTAACAAATTTTTCTATATACAAGCTGTTGAACTTTTTTTGAAAGATTTTTAAAGATCAATCGGACGTCACAAAAAACTAAATGTTTACTGAAAATTAACTGCATACACAACAACAGCAATAGGAGAGATATTGGAGCTTATGCCATAAACAGAATATACTAAACAACACTGCCAAAACATGGAAGGGTAATACAAAAATAATGAAATTTGATATGTTGGAAATATTTTGTCAAACAGATTATCTAAAAAAATGCAAAAAACAAGACCAATCAAAGAACTGTTTGCTCTTCTCTTGGAGATAATGTTTTTGGCATTACAAGCATATTCCTTTCATTCTTAAAACAGGCAAATAGCAAACTTATTTTGACAAATTTTGAACAAAATTATCAACTGCAAAGGCTTTTATATTCAAGATTCATGCCAAACTTTTAGGCTCATTTTAAATTTTACATTAGTATGTTTCTTTTCTAATTTTATATTCTCTTCTTGGCTAACTGAACTTCTAAAAAAAAAATATCGAAGTCAGGCTATTGTGACCACTTGGGATTATCACAAAATCACGCTCACCTCAGTTTCTTTTTTAGAGAGTTTGACAAATGACTTTTAAACATCTGAATGATAAGCATGTTTCGAGGAGTTCGAAGAGCTCCTGGTCTTTTATTTATTCTACACTGAATTAGCCCAATCTTCCATAATTTTGGCAATTATCCATCTACTTTTCTGAACATGTACGACTATATCTTTAGGAAAGTTTTCATCACTGATTTCCAGTTAAGAATCAAACACAGAGGTAATTCATGGCCACCTGCTGTTATCACACAGCATTATTGTGATACACTGTTTTTTTTTATCCTGTACTAAAGATTTTAAATTTTCCTCACCCTAATTTTAAGTACAATTCCATGGCATATCAAAGAACGTGTTTCCAATGTTCTTGAATTCATACGTGTATCTTCTATATAAACCAATTACATCGCATTGAAATTGCGCAAGTTTATTTTCGAAATCTGCAAGAAGTTTTGTCAGACTGAAGTTGTCAGTCTTATAGAAAATCCTTCCCTTCTCATAAATTTTTCACACAGCCTCTTGATGCTTTTAAATTCTCGATTCTAAATTTACAAGCGGCTTCTTTTGCCTTGCATTGCAGTATTTGTATTGTAACTGGCAATGTTTTAGATTGAGTGTCACATAGAAATTTTTTTTTGTATCTTCTATATAACCCCCATTACATCGCACTGAAATGCGCAAGTTATTTCGACATCTGAGAAGTTGTCGACTGGTTGTCAGTCTTCTGAAAATCCTTCCGTCTCATAATTTTCCACAGCCTTGATGCTTTTAAATTCTCGATTCTCACTTTACAAGCGGTTCTTTGCTTGCTTGAGTTTTGTTTGTACTGGTTTTTTTAGCGGCGGGCCAAGAAATTGAGCAACACTATCATATCCATCTTGCCAACTATGCCACTCAAAAAGGAGATTTTAGTACCAATTCTTAATGCAGCAACACAAACCCCCTTACACCCCCAGTTTTATTGGATGTAAAAAAAAAAAAAAAAAATCAGTTTCTACAAATGTTTAAACAGTAGCAGATTTTACTTTCTTTAAGAGAGAAACTTCATAATTTTGTCATAGCAATTGCCACGTAGGCCTGCTCGCTAATAAAGTTTCCTAAGTGTCATCACTACTTAGATCTAAATTTAGTCCCGTTTCGCAACAACCTGAAATCCTCTCACCACTCTGCTTAATATGGGGAACTTTCAAGGCCAACATAATTAGGACAGTTTCTATATTTTAAAATTCCATCAGCATCTTTCACTTTTCCAACTAAACTCCATGGGTGTCAATCCTAGTGATTTATAACTTCATCCAAGTTTCTAATTGTAAACTGCTGTTGGAAATGTCCAATTTTCCTCCTTTAGCTCCTTCAGATAATAGTAAATAACAACATGTGTTCATCCGCATTTATTGGAAAGCTTCCCCTTTCAGCTGTTAAATTTAAGAGATGAAAGGTGCACCTCATAATCTGCAAATCTGAATTTAAGATTTAAGAGCCTGCAACACCATCTTCACCTACCAATACTGGTGCATTATCGGCACTAAGTTAAGCATTACCAGAGGGACTACATTTTTTTTAAAGTTTTAATGTAGCTGTGATAGTAAAGCCTGTCAATGTCTTCTAAAGTGGGGCCAGAAGTAAACTGCACTACTCATTCTGAAGACTCTAGATTAAAAAAGAGAACACTAAGGATACAGTTTTGAATCGGTATTATGCCTTCATCTGTAGAGAGGCAGCACGGAGCTGTTTTAATGCAATAAAACTGAAGATTTATTTTTCAAATCCATTCTTTAACAATTGCACGTTTTGGTACTTGCATTGAGATCTCTTAGCGATTTCTATAGGGAAACATTTTTCTAAAAAAGCTGCAGCGTGATCCACTGCATTCGTGGCAGGTTGTGCTCCAGTAAAAGGAGAGAACAGATATTGCATCAATAACTTTTTGGTTCTTTGCTTCCAATAAAAACTAAATTTTCGTTTTTTTAAACAACTCATTTGTTTTGCGTTGCACACGTTTGAGAACACGCCCTTCCCCATGGAAATCGAAACAGCAATGACAGGCGGTAATGCAAATTTATTAAATTTCCTGAGAAAAATGGAAGGAAAGTCAATGTGTACGATTTTTGAAACGCACATGAGTATTTCACTTTCTCGCAAACCATAAGAAGATGATAATTTCTAAACTATTCTGAGGCACGTGTACTGTAGGCAAAATGACGCAATCAGGACAAAATGCCGAAGTAACTAAAGAACATCCAAATAACAGCTTGCTTGTCTCATGGCTGCCAGGGACACGCAGTGAGCCTATGCCCATTGGAGAACTGGAGAACGGTTTCTGGATACGTATATGCTCTCATCACAAGCAGAAGATCTAATTCGCAGAGTTGTTTTAGATATATCTAGAGAAAATTAATTGCTTTCAGACTCCAAATACAGTGTTTTGTTCATATAACAAAGTATTAAGAAATGTTCCATAAAAATCGTGAGAAATTTTAAGAATAAGAAAAAGTTGGAAGAAATATATTGTAAATCGGGTTGGCGGGAGAGCGGTCGAAAATCGAGAGTCCCCCGCCTAAATCGGGAGAATTGGCAACTCTGCTATCATGTACTTCAGGATATCTTTTTTTATTTGTCCAGTGAAAGACCTTGTTGAAGATTTACAAGCAGAAATCGTATCACTTTGTTTATGCCATCGACATATATTTCTTTCATCCGTATTAAATTTTCTGGCTGCTGTTTTCACTTTCTTCTGCATATAAAATTGCCTTCTTTTCCATATTTGCATCTTAATACCATTGTCAATATCTTTGATGTTTTAGCTGATAAAAAAATCATATACAAAAAAGTTCCTAAATACATGCAGACAATGAAGTTTAGAATAGACTAAATACTGAAGATAAACTGTGGAATATGATGAGTCATCAATTCAGGAAACCAGAATGGAACAGTTATATTTGCCGTCTTTCTCCAAATCCCTATTACTTTAAAGATATTCAGGTCATTCTGACTAGAGATTCTTTTTTAAAGCCTTTTGAAAGTGAAACTTTAATTATACTCGCGCTGTCTAATGAGACGGATGTCATCTCTTAATAAAAAAGAATCACAATCATTATGACTAATAGCTTACTTTTATAAAAAGTGTGGCATATGCAGCTGTTTGAAGATGTTCTATTATATAAATATTTTTATCATTACTAAGATAATTTTTGGCAAATAATTTTTTTAAAAGATTTTTAGCAATATATGCATATTGCATTTAGAATACTGACAGTAGTCAATATGACCAATATCATGGTTAAAAAAAATTTTTGTGAAAATTTTACATGTTTCATATTTGGGTAGTTTAAAGAAAATCACTTAATTTTGCATTGAAGTACTTTTGAAGAAATAAAAATGATATGTCAATTTGATTACTAGTGCACCAGATGCATTAATAATTAGCATCAGGGGAAAACATGAGATCAGGAAAAATTCAACAAATTAAATAATTTCAGAATATATTAACTAACAGTGATTTTATATCAATAAAGAAGGCAATTCAACTTGATATAAGACTTCAAGTTTGGATAATTTCTCACTAGGAATTGCAGAAATCCTGATACATCTTAAGTGCTTCTTAAAAACCAGAATCTTTCCAAAATCTTCAAACGCCAGTAAAATTTCTATATCCATTTTTTTTAACTTAATAAATTGGTTACTTTTCCTTCAATACACAACCAACCCGAAATTAGATACACAACAGATTTTGTGTAATGAACTGGAAAACCATTCTTCTATACAGAATTTTACATTTGCATTAAGGGTTAAGATTATTTTTGTAACATCTATATTTTACAAGTCTAAAAAAGTACTGAAGTGTTTCTTTGGTCTTTAAAGTTTTCATATTATGCAACATTTCATCCCTTTAAAAGAATGGACGACAGATGATAAGCTTTACATACTAATACAATACATGTGACCATAAATTTTAAATAAAGAATTAACAGATATTAAGGATTAAAACTCTATACAAACCTTCATCAGATTTATCATCTTGGTCATAACCGTCGAGATATTTTAACTGAGGTAATAAGGCAAAAACTTTTTCTCTGTAATTATCAACTGAAGAAACTTCACAGTTAGACAAATCAAGATGTTTCAAATTTTTCAGTTCTTTCTAAATAAGAAAAAAATATGGAATTCAAACAAAGTAAACCTTATTCATATGCAAATATTTCTTGTAATTTACAAATTACATAATACATACATTGCATATTAAGCTTACATTAGCCCAAAACAATGGCCAACACTCATCTTATAACAACTTTTAAATACAGTACCTTTTAAACCTGCATTACAGTCTGGTTTGAATTTGTTGCCATAAACTTGTCACCAAGTCACTATACTATTAATGGCCTTTGGAATTTAAAATAGGTTTACACCACAAATGAATGTTTTGATTTCACAAGTTTTTTTTTTTTTAAATTCAGCCAACAAAGTGTAAACAAACGCACTACTGCTTCAATTTAAGTATAAATCACTATCTATGCTTAAAATAATGGAATTAATAAAACAATTAAAAGAACATATGTAAAGACACTGTGCAAGTATTACAAGCTCAAATCAGTAATTCTGCACAACTTTTAGATTAAGATTTAAGTTTTCAGCTAAGAAAATAGAAAGCTGCAAAACCTTCCGAAACTTTTTAATCACTTCTGACAACACAGTAACATGTAACTGCAGTAAGATGGGCAAACTATGGGGATTCTTATGTATATTTACTGATACACACATCTTTTAGGGAAGAATTTTAGGGGTTTTCTATTTTTCATAGTCTGACATTAGTCTCGAGCCAATATAGTCAAACTCATTACGATACAAAATTTGGATACAATTTTAAGTACAAAATTTGGATGTTCAATAATCGAAACGATCTATTATAAGGAGTTCCTATAATGTTCTTTTTTCACATAGTGTAGGAATGGATAAGTTATTCAAGCATGCTGTATATCGAATTTTGCTCCAATAAGGTAAGCTCCCCGATTGCCCTTTAAACACCTGCCACCTAGTGAATTATCCACCAAATAGCTGTTTTAGGGAGGGGGGAAGGCAGCATTTTCCCAGCCCTATATGCAATAAACGAGTCTCGATGACTAGTGTTTGTATGAAATGGAATATTACACATATTAGTTTCCTTTTGTCATATAGCACGGATGACGGAGAAATAATTTAGATTCTAATCAACTTAAGCTCAACTTGCACTGTGAATAGTGCTTTTCCTTAACACTAACTTGATACAGCTCATTTAATCCAGTCTATTATTATGTTAAATTTCAAAATTCAAATAAAAGAAAATATCAGTTTTACTCTTTTCTCGAAACTTTATATCCATTAACTCTTTCACATCAAAGTCGCCCCAAATGCCAAAACATTCAGACATCGGCTGGACGCCCGAATAATTTCCTACCCAGTGCTTTCCCCCCATCACGTTACTGCATTACTCATTGCTTTCAGGTGTTGTTAAATCACGTTCCAATCATTCTTTTGAAGCTACTAAAAGTAGCTTCCTTGTTTCCTTTGTTCCTTCCTTTCCTTTGTTACTGTCAGTGTTAGCTTTTGATGCCCGAAGTTGCAATCGTCCCAAGGGGGAGCTTCACAGTGTCAAAGCGTCAGAAAGAAGTTCTCGCTTTACTTAAGTAAGGCTATTGTTAGTGCTGTAGTATTCAACTTGTCATTGGGGAAGAAAAAGCATTCCAGGAGAAATTCTTAGATACGGGCGTTTTCAATGTTTGGGGAATTGAGATTTTGCCCTCTCCCAATGCGAAAGAGTTAAGCACAAAATGATTAGCAGAATCTTAAGTACACCAACATGAAGATATAAAGTAGGCATCTTGAAAATCAATGCAGTAAAAAAAGACCATCCTAGAATTCCTGACACATTTTAATTTAAAATCCATATGGAGGTCATGATAGGATGGCCTGGTAGATATTCTAAAAGTGTTTTAATAGGCATATGTGACATAGGCAGCTAGCTGAATATGGAAACTGAACTAGAAATTATATCCAGTTATAAAAAGAGAGAACATTAAGCAAAATTGTTTAAACAACTTATATTTAAGAAAAATTAATGAAACAAAACGATATCAACGATTTTCTAATATCCTGAAGATGATTATGCTTTATTATTCCACAAGTCTTTATACAGTACAAAGTCTGTAATCCAGACCTCAAAGCCACAAACTTACGCATGCACATTTCAGGCGAGCGTTCACTACGCATTAGCATAAAGCCAGTGAAGCGTTTACCCATGTGCACTTCCGATATTGAAGAAAGTAACAGAGAACGTGATTGAATGCGAAAAAATTTCGATTGACAAGTTAGTCTTTATTCTTGACACAGCAATTACAGGCCTTGAACAGTGGAACTTTGTAACTGAACAAGAAATTATGTCTGTTTATAAAATTAAAGAGAAAGTATTAGCACAAAAAATGAAGCAACTTAAACAACTTACATTGAAAGAAATGTTTACTAAAGTAAAATAAATATTAAGCTTTTTTTTGTAAATTTTAATAACCTTTAAATCATAATTGCTCTTTATTTCATAAATTACGGTTTCATATTTTTAATTGTATAATTTCTGCATGCCATCTTACCATTGATGATCTATAACCCGGAATCGCCGAAGTCCCGACGAGTCCGGATTATGGACTTTGTACTGTACTTAATTTTATAATTTATACACGCAGTCTTACTAAATTCAAAAAGATAATATAAAATGCAGAAATTTTAAACATACAGAATCAATGAATTCCCAATGATTCTAAAGCAGTGTACGCTCTATTTGAATTTTTCACTTCTTTTAGCTAATAATGACATTTTAACTCGTAGTATAGAATTTAAGCATGCTCACAAAAATCAAGACTTATTAATTACTTACCAAAGGCTCCAAAGTTTCTAAACTTTCAATTTTATTTCCACTAAGGTTCAGTGTTGTAAGCTTATGACTGCCACTAAGATAATTCAATCCTCCAGATATTCTGTTATCACTTAATTCAAGCTATCAAGACAAAGCAAATAAATTTTACATAGTTTTTGGAACAAATATAACATCATAGCTGCCAACCTTGAAATATGAACACCCAGGTTTTCATGCTATGTGATGAACACCTTTTCAAAAGAACTTTATATTCACTTTATGATGCATTCATGATACTGAACTACTTAATATATGATTCTGGTACAAAATGTGATATTTAATTAGATATTCTAATTTTTACGTTCCTTGGCTAGTTTTCAATTTGTTATTTTCTTATCCTTTTATACTCAGAAAATCCTATGTAACGAAGAAAAAGCTCACATAAAAATTTTTTTAATTTTATGAATAAAACTAATAATTAATGTACATAGCATTTTGTGGATAAGCCAAGTGACATATACTGATGCAAAACAAACTTAAACACAAAAATCAATATTGGTTAAACGAAGGGCGAATCTTCGTAAAGCTCTACAATAGATTAAGACAATCACATCAAATAGGGGAGAAATGGAGTAACCTGAGCTTCATTTATCAGGAAAGTTGGCAGTTATGTAAATGAAATCAAAACATGAATTAAAATAAAATCTTAACATAAAAAAAAACCCTCTCTCTTATAATTTTTTAGTCTCAAGTAACAATTTTTATGAAATGAAAATATTTTTATGCTTTCATGAAAATAGTTAACTAGAATGCAGTACCCCTAAAATGTCATTGTTATAATGACTAGCAGAATAAAAATGTAGTTTTTCCTTTGTGGTACATTTAGAATATGATTTTGGTTTATTACATAATTTTCAGCCTGATTCCTAAATCTTGAGAATTTTACATAAGCAGTTCGACCCTTCATACTTACTTACTGATGGGCCGGGCCATAAGGCTAGACTCCAAAATGGCACTGTAGCAGAAGGTTTTTTGTGTGCTCATTTTGAGAAATTCAGATCTATGATTATGATGCAGCATGACATTTGCACTCTCAAAAACACAATGCTTTCTGTGCCATGTTTCACTAGAAAGCATTTTCTTCCTCCTTTAAACAGCCCTGACTTGCAACTCATTTCTCGACACATAAGGAAAACTGATTTGTACCTCAACAGAACATTAATTAAAGCAATTACCTTCTATAAATGGATTGAGCTCACCTCCATGTTCAGAGGATTTTATAACTAATTATCAGTTCTAATCTCCCAGGAGGTTAAAACTTTCTTCCTTAGCAACACCATCTATCAAATCTTACTACACATTTCTTTCAGAATTTGTTAAAAAAAAAAAAAAAAAGTTATTTAGTCCTGCTGTTCATTTCTATTCATGAACGCTGTGATTAGATAATGTATGCACTACTGGCCATTAACAGTGGGAATGACACATGAGTTTGGGATACGTGGATAGATGTCATGACACAAGATATATACAGTCAAAAGTCGTTAATTCGGACACCCATAATTCGGAATGATCTATAATCCGGACCTCAAAACTAAAAACTTTCTGCGCATGCGCCGCGTTGACACATGCGCATAGGCGTTTACGTGTGCGCGTAAGACCTTTTACGACTGCGCATATGAGTGGGCGCAAGTGCAGAATACGTTTTCGCGTGCGCGTTTTATGTATAATGGACATATAAGCTAAAATTATCTATTTCAGGTAATGTTGATGATTGCGTGTTCCTTAATTTTCGAATTGGTCCGGCTTATTATTTTTTGCAGACTGTAAGCAAATTTTATAAAAGTAAGCTTAAACTTTCGATTATATCAAATAGAATTTCCGATACATATTGTTAATATGTAAACGGATCTAAAGCGAAAGTAATGTTTTGAAATCCGAAATCTGTTTATCAATTTCACGCTGCTCGGTGCGTAATGAATTGGAAGTTGATCTGTCAGCACTATCCTTATCTTCAGCGTACATGTTTTTATTTTATTTGGCTTACAGTTCCTTACCAAATGTAGTATTTCATCTCGATATGCTCCGTCTTTGATATGATTTAAAACAAGTTTCTTGTCATTTTAATTCGCTTCCGATAGCGAAGAAAGTGACAGAGGTTATTGAAAACGAAAAAAATTCGATTGACAAATTAGTCGGTGTTTTCGACACAGCAATTATAGGGCTTGAACAGCAGAACTTTGTAACTGAACAAGAAATTATGTCTGTTTAATAGAATTAAAGAGAAAGTATTATCACATGAAACGAAGCAAAACTTAAACAACTTACATCGAAAGAAATGTTTAATTAAGTAAACAAATAAATATTAAGCTTTTTCCTTTTGCAAATTTTGATACCCTTTAGATCATAATTATTCTTTATTTCATAAATTACGGTTTCATATTTTTAATTTTAGAATTTCTGCATGCCATCTTACGAGATTTAAACTGACGATCTATAATCCGGAAAAATCGATAATCCGGAATCGCCGAAGTCCCGACGAGTCCGGATTAACGACTTTTGACTGTATATATATATATATATATTTAATCCTGCTGTTCATTTCTATTCATGAATTCTGTGATTAGATAATGCATGCAATACTGGACATTAACAGTGGGAATTACACACGAGTTTGGGATATGTGGATAGATGTCATGACACAAGATACATATATTTAGTCCTGCTGTTCATATTTATTCATGAACTACTGCAATTAACAAACTCTTGTAGTAGCCACTGATAAGGATGCATGCTATGTTCATGAAAGGCAAATTTATCAGCTTTTGAAGCTGCATCTTTTTCACTGGGGGGGTCATGAAAGGCAAATTTATCAGCTTTTGAAACTGCATCTTTTTCACTGGGGGGGGATCTATGTTTTGTATTTCAATACTTCACTGTATAATATACAGCTCACTTATTGTTTTTTTCGTATTTAAGTTTTATTAATTTGTTATTTTTGGTAGATTCATTCAATCCACCACAGATTGATGGTTCATAGAAACCAATATTAAAATAGTGATGGATAATCTAGTTCTGATTGAATATTTTAGCATATGTATGTCAAGAATGATCATAATAAGACATGGTAGACAACAAGCCAACCAATAAAACAGTTACAGATAATAACATTTTGGCTGCTGAATTCTCTCTTAAGTTATTGGGATAACTTCCAAAATATCCTAAATCTTGATAGAAGGAAGTCCACCAAGATTTTAGAGGACATGGTTCTTTCAGCTCTTTAAGCCGACAGCTGAAGAAAGCTTGGAGAATATTCTGCACAGCCTCAGTACGTATAATCTAGCTTTCAAAATAATAAAAGCATAAACATGGAAAGTACAACACAATCATTGCTGAGCAAACAAATATGGGAAAAAATTTGAAAAGTATAAGGAATTTATAACAACCAGTATTTTTCCTTTTAGGAAAGAGGTAACTGAGTGATTACAAATGCAGAAGAAACTGCAAATACCATTGGCAAAATTACTGCTGCCAATTCTAGTGGTAGTTATTCAGGAGCATTTCTTTTGGTTAAGGAGTACTCGGAGAAAATGGCCATAATTTTCAACCCTTCCAACTTGAAACTTTATAACAGTGCTTGAGCTGAATGCTTTGTCTCAAACACACATATCTAGCCCAGGACCTGACATAATTAGTTATGAAATGATACAACCTACAAGTCAGTGACTTGCCTTTGCATTCTTTATAACAGCATATGGAAGGAATAGATATTCTCTAATACATGGAGGAAAGCTATAATTATTCCTATAGCCAAACAAGAGAAAGATACCTCTAGATATCGATGGGTTGCATTTTCCAGCTGCCATTTTTTAAGTTACTTGAAAACATGGTCAACTGTTGCCTTGTATATTATTTAGAGAAGAATAACTCTATATTATCTTTCCAGAGTCAGTGTCGTTAAGGAAGTACTACAACACTTGATATTGTTTTTGTTGAAATAAATATCTTTAATCTTTAGCATTTTTAAAAGGAAAACATTTAGTATCTTTTTTTTTTTAAATGCAAATTTTTTATATGATAAGATTTACCAATATGTCATTCTTAAGGATCTCTATAATACTGCCTTGTGCAGTAATATACCAATTTTTATAGTATATTTTATAGAGATCGGAACTTCCAAGTAAGAATTGGTTCTATGCTGCAAAATACCTTTTTCTTAAGAGGGACTGCCACAGGGTTATTTATTCAATGTTATGCAATTTGGCACAAAAATCAATTTGATTCTAAGAATTTCCTGCTACTGTTTTTGGAATGTTGTATGTTAAAGATTTCAAATTAGTTGCCAAGGAGTGGACATAAGATGTATTGAGAGACATCTGCAAATCACAGCTTACAAGGTTATTCAGTGGTGAAAACAAGGCTTTGCGTTTTAAAACCAGACCATCTGTGTACATTTTATCATAAGAAAACTCTCCATCCTGAAGATGAACTTTATCTGGAAGGCACAAAAGTTCTGTCAAATATTACCTGGGTTGAAGAACATCACTCTATGATCCATATCTGTAGAGTGTTTGTTCAGACAAAATTTCACACAGACACAATAGCAATATATCGATCTTCCGCGGAGGTTGTAACCTTTGGGCAACCGGCTACGGGCCTTCGGACAACTGTCTGTGTGGTTTGGAATTGCTTCCATAAACATGATATTACAGAATGATGAACTCCGAAGAAAAGAGCAGAATCTGTGATCGACTGTCCTGCTTCAATGTGCCCCCCAGCACGCCAGTGCTCAGCACCTTCCATTCGTCTTCTAGAAGTCATAGAAACACACATGGTCTTGAAAACAAATTGTACGAAAGTTTTAAACACCTATCAGCACTTACAATCAACATCTGTAACCCTTCATAAAGCTGGCTTCTTATACGACTGCCTTTTTGCATATTTCTTGACATGAAAGCACGATTGGCTGTTACCTCACATATTTGCATACTTCCATCTACCTCTGCAGCGAATTGCATCCTCTTCAATTCTGATTGGCTTCCAGAAATTAGCATTTTCCTCTCTGTGCTTAACTTTTAGAAGTAAGTGTACTAACCACGGCAGACTGTGAACAACCTACCAATCGTGCAGTTTCGGAGATACTA